TGCCTCGCAATAGCTTCAACTCCAATCCATACGCTACTTACATTTAATTTCACTCCCATCTCCCTCGAAATGAAAGTATTTTCACTGAGGCTTGAATGTGTTAGACGCGCCGTCTCGAATGTGTGCCATCTCCTTCGCTTCCTGCCGCCACCCTCATTCCCTCCTCGTCAGTGCCTCTGTCGATGGGTGTGCGTAAGCTCCGGTTCCTCATTAAAAAAGCAAAAAATAAATAAAGATTCCGCGCTAGGACAGCCACCATGAAACATTTCATAAAATCAATGCAATCGAAGATGTCGAAGCCCATTGGTCACGGTGACAATGTGCGGGTGTGCGGGGCCGACGGCGCGGGCAGAAGCATTAGTTTGCCGGGAGGGAGCGGGAGCTCCCAACGACGGCCGGCGACGGTCCCGTGGAAGGAAACGGAGCGCGTCGCGACGCGGATCGGACGCAGGTGGGGAGCGGATCGGCAGGTGCGCGTCTGGAAGGAGGCTCGCGCGCATTCGCGAGCGGCAGCTCATTACGGTGCACGGCGTTGGCCCCCTCGCGAGGATACGTACGAGAGTGGTCGTGTGCAGGGTCTCCGGGCCGCGATGAAGGGCAAGGCGAAGCCGACGGAGTTCCGAGGTCAGCGGAGACCCTCGGCGGCGGCGGCGGTGGCGGCGGCCGGTGGGACAAGGCCGCGCGTACATCCGGCCTCGACTTCCATCTACTGGGAGTCCGTGGACTCGTCGGGCGGCAGCTCCGGCAGCGGCAGCCGTAACTACGTAGACCCCTGGGACCTCGAGAACTACGCGTACCTGCGAAGACACAGCATCGCCGTGGCCAGTCCTCAACCGGTCTACCAGGCGAGCCGTAACCACGGCTATAGCGGCCGGCTTTCCAACCACTCGCCCCTTCTCGAATCCGACGACTACTGGTCAGTGCTCTACGTCGTACTTCCGGAGATCATGAGATCATTAGATGCCTTGGCTGGGGGGCCCATAAAGGTCACTTACTAGCTCGTTTACTAATCCCGCGTATCGTCTCGATGCGCTGCTCTAGGCTGCCAAGGACGGGCTTCGCTCAATGCCGCCACTGTGATTTCGGCAGCCTTCCGTGTGCTTTCGCGCTTATGGTGCTCCGCGGCAATAATACCATTTGCGCTTGCTCGTATGACTTTTGCCATTACGCGGTTTATCCTATTGCAATAGCGCAACGACATAATATTTAATGCGCTTGGCATATTATGACGACGTTGGTGTCGGTAGTGTCGATATTGTTGGGGCAGCGTAGATGAAGTGGTAAGTATGTTCGTAGCGTCGTGAGGAAGACAAGGAGTGTCGATTAGTTTATAAAATTTATTCTTGCATTATCGAACCTCTTCGTACATTGCATTTGAAGATTATGCCAACGGCTCGCGTAATAAAATTTTTCAATTGTCATACATTTGCTTCTCACACTTTAATGGCAAGGATCAAGGCGATTGCATAAAAAATATTACAAATAATATTGTATTTTA